TTTGCAGTTCTTATCTTAAAACATCCAGAAAATGGTTGATAAATGGTTTCTTAGGGAGAATCCTTTAAAAAAGTAAATGATGAAATATTTGACAAGTCTGGGTGTCCCAACATTTTCAGTTGCTTGCAAAGCATTCGTCTGCTGAAGGTCATGCAGCCTTATTCAAACCATCGAAGCTATAATTGATAGCACCACCTTATTATATTACTTCCTTATTTATTGTGCCTTGTGTTGTTTGATATCAGATCACGACTCTTTCATCCCTCTTGAGAATGTTTTCTTTTAGTTAGGTTTAAAATAGAAATGTAAACTGTTAAAATCAAAAGGACTGAGCTATTTTTAAAATGCTTCTCTGATTTAGCATTACTGGGACATACCATAGTGTTCCATATCGTAGTGCTCAAAGAGGATTAATGTGCCTCCTCTTTTTAGAGAGCAGTGTTTCTCAATCTTGGCAACTTTAAGAAGTGTGGATGTCTGCTTTAAAGGGAGGATTTCCAACACTACCAAAGAACAGCATTTTGATGATTTTTTTTTTGTTCCTTAACACTAATGGAAAGAAGATGGAAAACAACGTAGTAAAAGAAATCCCAGAAATGAGGTTGTGCTGTTAAGAATGAAACCATTCTGGAGCTTCTAAAAATTCTGGAGGAGCTCTCCCTTCACCACTTGTCTCTGTAACACATATGCAATCAATTATGATATTATTTTATGAGAAATCTCAGCCCACTTCTAGTGTTTACCGTTCATGCAATTTGGTGGTGTATATTTTAAGAACAAGAGCATGATCCCTACAACTTGGATAGACCTATGTATTGTAAACTGCTCTGTACTTTGAACAGAAATGTAATTCCTTCCTTGGTAACAAGCCTCACTGGCCATAACAGGGCCTTTAAGCAGGATTCCTAGGATGCAGTGTTACGATTACTTACCCGATATAAGAGCCATTAAACTCAATTGGACTGGTTTCTCTGCAGACATACAGCACATAGGAGTGTATTGCCTCATTTGTGGGGATTTTTATTTTTTTTTCTTATAGAGAAGTGCAATAACTTTCATATAATCTGAAGGTGGTTTGTCTCCTTTTACTGCCATGTTGTTGTTATTAATATTATTTAAAGAGCCCTGGTGGTACAGTGGTTAGAATGCAGTACTGCAGGCTGACTCTGCCCACTGCTAGGAATTTGATTCTGACTGGCTCAAGGTTGACTCAACCTTCCACCCTTCCAAGTTCAGTAAAATGAGGATCCAGATTGTGAGGGGCAATATGCTGACACTGTAAACCACTCCGACACTGCTGCAAAGCATATGAAGTGGTATATAAATCTAAGTGTTATTGCTATTCCTCTTTGCTGTTTTCTTTACCCAAAGCAAAACCGTATTTCCACTCACCTATATGTATTCCTCAGCTCTCATTACTGAACATCCTGATTGTTAGCAACTGTAAACCAGCCATGTCCCAATTAAATATGTGACCTGGGTATGACTTTACAAATCCTCCCTTTAAATAGTCTCTAAACAGGGACAGCCAGTATCAACATGGAGGCAGAAAATTTAACAACATTTTTATCATTATTTGGATTGTGCACATGGACCACTGGAATGCCAAAGGGCACATTTTTGTTCAAGCCCACAGTCCTCAACTTATCTTGAAATATCTATTCCAAACTGTGTACATGTGTGGATGGAACTCTATGCACATGATTAACAAATGAGATTTAAGCTTTCAGCTTCCACCTCTTTATCTGTTGTCTTTCACATTTTCTTCCTTTTTCTCTTTTTTTCAAAGGGATTTTCCCTAACTGTATCTAATTCTGGCATCCATACACCCTTGAAATATATTTGGACATTGCCTTAATTTTTCCCCACAATCTAAGTGTGAAACAATCTTAAGTCATCCTTAGAGATACTCATCTTAAATAGTGTTACCATCTCCCCATTAAGTAGACAGCATCTTGAGGCACTTGTAAAATATGTAAAGTCTGCTGTTTTGAACTGCCCGTCCCACCATTGGCACACTCAGGTGATGCTTAGCAGATGGGATCTGCTGGCCAATTGAATTTGTGCAAACCACTTCTGTCCTCCAGTCAGTTTTTGCCGCTGTCACGTTGTTTTCTCATCTCCTTATACGTTAAGCATTCTCATCACATGCTTCCAGTTTCCTTTTATTTCAGACCTTGGACTTTGGCTTCAGCCATGCTAGATAGCTATTTATACCACCTTTTAGATTCTACCAACAATTGTTGTGCCAAAAGACCAGACTTGGAATATTGCATCCAGTTTTGTTTGCTATGGTATAAAAAAGATGTTGAGACTCTAGAAAGAGTGCAGAGAAGAATAACAAAGAAGATTAGGGGACTGGAGGCTAAAACATACAAATAATGATTGCAGGAATTGGGTATATTTAATTTAATGAAAAGAAGGATTAGGGGGGACATGATAGTGATGTTCCAATATTTTAGGGGCTGCCACAAAGAAGAGGGGGAATCAACCTATTCTCCAAAGCACTTGAAGGTAGAATAAGAAGCAATGGTGGACATTAATCAAGGAGAGACCCAACCTAAACTAAGAAAAACTTTCTTGACAGTGAGAACAATTAATCAGTGGAACCACTTGCCTTCAGAAGTTGTGAGTGCTCCACCACTGGAGGCTTTTAAGAAAAGACTGGACAGCTACTTGTCTGACATAGTATAGGGTCTTCTGCTTGAGTAGAGGGTTGGACTAGAAGACCTTCAAGGTCCCTTCCAACTCTGTTATTCTGTTAAAAGAACAGTACTGTAATATAGGCTAGCTAGATAACAAGAATTTCTGGATCTGCCTATTCTTTCCTTTAGCTTTGTAGCAACCAGAGATTTATGGGTCTCTCCCTCCTTTAGCATCTTCAGGTCACCAAGGTATTGTACTGCTTCAAAGAAATGGTAAGACAACAACAACAACAACAATAATAATAATAAAGTTGGAAGGGACCTTGGAGGTCATCAGGTCCAACCTCCTGTTCAGGCAGGAAACCCTATACCATTTCAGACAAATGGCCATCCAGTCTCTTCTTAAAAACTTCCAGTGTTGGAGCATTCATCACTTCTGGAGGCAGGTTGTTCCACTGGTTAATTGTTCTAACTGTCAGGAAGTTTCTCCTTAGTTCTAGGTTGCTTCTCTCCTTGATTAGTTTCCATCCGTTGCTTCTTGTCCTGCCTTCAGATGCCTTGGAAAATAGCTTCACTCCCTCTTCTTTGTAGCACTCCCTGAGATACTGGAACACTGCTATCATGTCCCCTCTCATCCTTCTCTTCATTAAACTAGACATACCCAATTCCAGCAGCCGTTCCTTATATGCTTTAGCCTCCAGTCCCCTAATCATCCTTGTTGCTCTTCTCTGTACTCTTTCTAGAGTGTCAACATCTTTTTTACATTGTGGTGACCAAAACTGAATGCAGTATTCCAAGTGTGGCCTTATCAAGGCATTGTAAAGTAGTATTAATATTTCACGTGGTCTTGATTCTATCCCTCTGTTAATGCAGCTTAGCACTGTGTTGGCCTTTTTGGCAGCTGCAGCACACTGCTGGCTCATATTTAAGTGATTGTCCACTAGGACTCCAAGATCCCTCTCACAATTACTACTATTGAGCAAGGTACCCCCTATACAATACCTGTGCATTTGGTTTTTCTTGCCCAAATGTAGAACCTTTCTTTTTTCACCATTGAATTTCATTTTGTTAGATAGCGCCCAGTGATCAAATCTGTCTAGATCCTCTTGTATCCTAAGCCTGTCTTCTGGAGTGTTGGCTATTCCTGCCAGCTTGGTGTCATCTGCAAATTTGATGATTTCCCCATCTATCCCCTCGTGCAAATCGTTGATGAAGAGGTTGAAGAGCACTGGGCCCAGAACAGAGCCCTGCGGCACCCCACTACACATTTCCCTCCATGTAGATGCGGTTCCATTGAGGACCACATGCTGTGTACGACCGGTCAGCCAGCTATGGATCCATCTGGTGGTGATGCTGTTTAAGACAATTGATCAAGTAGACTATTGGCTCTCTTCTTCAATCCCTCCCCAATGCTACAATGTTATTAAGCATTCCACATAGCATGAAAGTATTTTTTTTTTACTTTTTCTTTGCTTCTCTCCAAATGAAGTTCTTCAGGATGATCTTTATACTGTTCATTTGCTTTGGATTCTACATAGAAAAATTCAGACTGTGCCTCTTAAATTGCTTTATGATGTGCCCAGAAATGAAAATGATTCTTTCTGCAGGCAATTATTCCCAGGAATATTCTAAGTTACTTGTTTGAGATGGCTGGTCATTCAAGTTGAATAAATAAATTAAAAGTAGCGTAGGAGAAAATATTGATTGCTCATTTTAATGTTAAAATCATCCTGATGGTGAGTTCTGTATCAATAGATGAAAAGATTTTGATTAACCCTTTAATGTCTTAAGACCTAGCACTAGCAAAAAAAAGTAATAATTTGTAAATATTCACCAATTATGACCGTGACTATCTTAATGTTAAAGTAGTCACCAGGTATCACTAGGTGAAAAGTTTGTGATAGCTAAATGTCTATGAAAATTTTCTAACTAATTTGTGATTAAAAATTTGAATATTCCCTATGATAAATTGCTCATCTCCAATATTGTATTATATAATACTCCTTACTCCTCCAAAGAGGGAGGAAGTTGAAGGATCAGCCCTGGTTTTTTTCTTCTCTGTTAAACTTTTATTCAGTTATCTTGGAGAAATCCAGCAAGTTTCCCTTCTTTGAATTTTAACAAGTTTTCAGAGTGTCTGTGTGAGTATAGGCATAGGCATGAATTCTGGAAAGAAGTTATTACTTATGCCTAGTTATTGTATGTAATCAGCTAAGCTGTTTTATTATTCGTCATAATATTTTATGGCATCATTACTTTAAATAATGCTCGAGTCATACTCTAAGACATTTATACTGTAAGCAATTGAGCAGCCTGAAATAATGTCGTACTTTGAATGTTTAAAAATGCGCTTACCTTTTTAAAGAGAGCTTTTTAAAAGATCAAGTTTTGCATTGGTTTGTAGCTTAAAACAAACTCAGCAAGATCACAGAAGGCACCAGGGCAGGTTTCCTTCCTTGATTTTTTTTTATGTGCGGCTCAGAATGTGCGATGTGTCAGGCTGATTTGGCAGAGATCTACTGCAACACCTGTTATGTCCATTTTTACTCAAGGCAAGTCTCAAGGGGTGAATGGTCTTAGGTTTCAAGAGCCACCTCAATTTAGATTTTGATGTTTGTCTACAGATGTCAGAATGACAAATGGTTTCCGAGACTACCTGGGGGGGAGATCAAAGTAATTAATCTTTTGCAGTTATTTACCAACACTAGCAGTTGCAACACCTACCTTGAAAAAAAATATCGTTTTCATTTCTCTTATGCTAGATATGTATTGCATTTAAATGGATTATTTTCCGTAAGGAATAACATCGAAGACTGTTTGTTTTCACTTTAACATGAACCCATTATTCCCTTCCTAGCCAGGGAAACAGCATATCTTATCGAAGTAGGAGAAGGTATAATAAATAAAAGATACGCAGTGCTAGATAAAGTTACATGAACAGGTTGAACAAATGCTTCACTTGACAGCACTTGCCTTAATATCAATTTCTGTAGATAAGAAAGTCTGCACTCTATATCTGCCTTGGCCACATGACAGATCTATAATCTTTGAGAATTTGACATGGAGGATATAAAAAAAATGTAGATAAAAAACTGTGCAACGTATAAATATAGTGAGTGAAGTTTAACACTGCACGTGCAGAACTTTCACTTCTACAATAGAGGTTTCTCCTGCTCCTCCTCTCGCTTTCCTCCCAAATCTATTCAGGAAGTTCCTCTGAAGAGATTTTAGGTGCTCTCAGAAGTCTGTAGGGGTGTAGAAGGAAGAATGAATGGTCTTGAAGGATAGGAAGAAGAGCTGATATGGCGAGATAGCAATGGTCACATAAAAGGAGCCTGAATACAATTAGTTTTACACCTCTGTGGCATTAGTTTTTTAATCTGGTCTACTTCATAGTGCTGGAAAAGGGTGAAGATATATCCCAGAATCACAGAACAGAGCTGGGAGGGGCCATTCAGACCAGGGCTTTTCAATCTTTTCACCCATTGTACCACTTTTAGGATATGGCAATATCCGAGTATCACCAGTCGCCTAGCAAGGTGTCAAAAACTTGACCCAAAAAGAGGAAAAAAGTGATGAAGTACTGGTAGTCCTCGACTTACAACAGTTCGTTTAGTGCAGTGGTTCTCAACCTTTTTAATGCCGCGACCCCCAACTGGTCGTAAGTTGAGGACTACTCAACCAGTCGTAAGTCGAGGACTACTCAACTGGTGCAGCACCGTTTGCAGACTGGGACTTTTGGCGGGCTCAGCAGGGCAGAGACAGCCTGGACAATTCCTATGGGCTTTTGAAAGCCAATAGAATTAGACTCTATTCAAGAGAGTCTATTCTATTGGCTTTCAAAAGCCAATAGAATAAAAGGGAGTAGCACAGCTAAGGAAAAGGGGGAAAAAATGGCAGACTGCGTTGTTTGGCGGCCCCCGTGAAATGGTCGTTTGACCCCAAATGGGGTCCCGACCCACAGGTTGAGAACCACTGGTTTAGTGACTGTTCGAAGTTACAATGGCACTGAAAAAAAGTGCTGAACAAGACACCTGCCTGCCCACCTGGTGGCGCTCTTCCTCCTGTCCGAGGTTTTCATTGTTGTGAGCATTTCTGTTGAAGATTGGCAGCAGGGGTGGGGTGGGGTTGTTTGGTTTTTATTCCCCCCATCTGCTGGATGATTGCAGCAGGTTTTGGTCACTTCACATGACCCTGGGACACTGTGACCATCATAAATATGAATCAGTTGCCAAGCATCTGAATGTAAATCACAAGACCCTGGAAATGCTGCAACATTCCAGCTGATCGACGCTTCTTCTGGGCTCAGCAGAAGTGCCAGAATCAGTGCTGAGCTCCAGCTGGAGCCTGGCATTGATCCTAGCACAGTAGTTCTCAACCTTTGTAATGCCGCGAACCCCAACCGGTCGTAAGTCGAGGACTACTCAACCGGTCGTAAGTTGAGGACTACTCAACTGGTGCAGCACCATTTGCAGAATGGGACTTTTGGCGGGCTCAGCAGGGCAGAGACAGCCTGGACAATTCCTATTGGCTTTTGAAAGCCAATAGAATTAGACTCTATTCAAGAGAGTCTATTCTATTGGCTTTCAAAAGCCAATAGAATAAAAGGGAGTAGCGCAGCTAAGAAAAAGGGGAAAAAATGGTGGACTGCGTTGTTTGGCGACCCCTGTGAAATGGTCGTTCGACCCCAAATGGGGTCCCGACCTACAGGTTGAGAACCACTGTCCTAGCGCTTCCACTGAGCCCTGACAGTCCTGTAGCTCCAGCCATCTCTCGCTCAGGCTTGTGCGTTGCTGCCACTGGTTCAGCTCATTCCCTTCCCCCTCTACCATTTTTCTAGGATGGTCACGTATCACCTGCCAGGTGCCAATGTACCACAGGGAGTACTTGTACCACTGGTTGAAAAGCCTTGATTTAGACCACTAAGCCTGAACCCAGCATAGGAATCTAAATTTATTGATTGAATGAAATTTTGATGCCCCTGATTCCATAGCCACACTGGGTGTAAAGAAAACAATAAAAGAAGACAGCTCTCTGGAATCAAAACCCCCAAAGTGAAGCAACCAGTAACTAACCAGAGGGGTTAACCATATATCCTCCTTGTAGCTCAGAGGCTGGGAGAACAATCAGGTTTTGCCAGTTACAAAAGATCAGAAGGGTGGGAGCAGTGCAATTTTTTCAAGGGGATACAATTTTTCAAAGTAGGAACCATCACCAAGAAGGCCTGCGTTCTAGGTCCTGCAAGATAACATTGCTTAGTGTATGGGACTTGGAACATGGACCTAACTAACTTGATTGGTTGGGCAGAAATATATAGAGATGCATGGCTACTCAAGTAACCAGGCTCTATGCCATACAGGGCTTTACAAATGATAATTAATAAATTAAAACATCCTGGACAGAAGCTGCCTAGCAGCTGAGACTGAAGTAGGGTGTGTTTGTGAAAAAAATCAAGATGGCAGTTATGACCCCATGACCAATGCCTCGTCCTTTTGTAGGCACATGAGATATTGAAACACATATAAAATGGATGGGGCTTTGATCAGAGTTGTCACTTTTTTTTTTTTACTTTCCTGTATCGTGCTTGTAATTTTGCTGTTTGCCTTTCTTGTTCATTTGCACCTGTAATGTTTACAAGGCTTAGGTAGAAATTATTAATATCTCATAAGAAGAATATTTGCATTAGCAACAAGAATAATACTGATCCAACTAGATCTGCCACATTCTATTATAACTACAGATTTTAGCTATCATATACTGTAGGTTTGTATAATAGATTAATTATTAAGCTTATTAATATGGCTGATCTAAGCCAAGAAAAGAGACATCATTGGGACTGAAAATGAATTTTAAGTTACAGTAATTGAATATGGATGGATATGTTCCTAAGGAGCCCAGTGAAAATATTGGCAGATCTAGTCAAAATGGCAAACAAGAAACTTTGAATGTTCTGTCAGGAAGTTCATAACTTTATTAGTATCACTGAACTATTTTAGGATTAGGTCCAAGTTTAGTGTGAAATAGTAAATAGTATGTACAGACCCAATGTCCATCATCACTATTCTTTTCTGGCAAAAAAATCTTATGGCATTAATGGTTTAGAATTCTTTACATATTTATCTTCAAAAGATTTCTGGTCCCAAAACTGACAAATCTCTCCATAAGGCAAACTCAAAAATATATTAAGTCATCAAGATAGACATTTCCTAACCAAACTGGCAAAGTAACTACAGTATGCTTCTCATGCTTCCATTTAAGATAATTTGAACCTTCCTTCCTTCCTTCCTTCCTTCCTTCCTTCCTTCCTTCCTTCCTTCCTTCCTTCCTTCCTTCCTTCCTTCCTTCCTTCCTTCCTTCTTTTCTCTTGAAGTCAGTGTTATGTCTTGCAACTGCCTGGATCAATCCTTGCAGTTTTCTTCATAAGAATTCAGAAGTGATTTGTCATTGCCTTCTTCCTAGGGCTCTTTCTTTCTTTCTTTCTTTCTTTCTTTCTTTCTTTCTTTCTTTCTTTCTTTCTTTCTTTCTTTCTTTCTTTCTTTCTTTCTTTCTCTACTTAATTTCTATGGTGCAACAACCAAAGCCCTGGTGGTGCAGTAGTTAGAATACAACATTGCAGGCAAACTCTGCCCACAGCCAGGAGTTCAATCCTGACAGGGCTTAAGGTTGGCTTAGCCTTCCATCCTTCCAAGGTCAGTAAAATGAGGACCCAGATTGATGGGACAATATACAAATAATGCTTCTACATTGTAAACACCCAGAGAGTGCTGTAAAGCACTATGGGCGATATATAAACCTAAATGCTATTGCTATTGCTATTGTTACATTTTCTTTTTAAAGTACACTGCAAAAGTTAATTATCATGGCTTTCTGGTCTCAAATTGGAACCCTTCCCCCATATATGTTTCCACTGGCCATAGGTGGTGATGATTCTTTCTTTGTTTGATAGCTTTTCTTTTCTCTGGAAGACTTACAGTGGTTTGGCTATGACTCTGAGAGTATAGATTTCTTTTTAAAAATGTTATAATGCATTTCTCATTTTTAAGTAGGCTTTCTTCAAGATTGTATGCCTTCAGGGTTTCTTAAATATATATAAACAAGCTTAAGTACATGAGCAGATGTAAAAACATTAACTTTGTATTGGCAACCGTGTCTTTGTAAATTAAATGTATAGGATGTCTCATAATTTTGCCAAGCTGAACAGTGGCTGAGCCTTTGGCAAGTTTAATTTGTACTAGCCTCTTAGCAGACACAGACAAATTGGAAAGGGGTAACATTATACGGAGAGTTTTGTTTCCATTTTGCATAGTCTGATTCCAACATGGGAATCCATTATAGCAAAGAATCCCAACACTATCCCTGCTATGGGAGCATTATAGGCTCAGTAAGATGAGCCAATAAAAATGACATTGTACAATATTTGTTCACTTGTGCTTTGTACCGGACTACAGATAGAGTACTTAAAGCTTCATGGTTGGGTGAGAAAGA